CCGCCCTGATGCTTGCAGCTGAGGATGGCCACTTGGAAGTGGTGCAGTTGTTGCTCGAGGCTGGAGCTGACAAGAATGCAGCAACGCAAGACGGGACAACCGCACTGATGGCTGCAGCTGAGAATGGCCACTTGGATGTGGCGCGGGTGTTGGTCGAGGCTGGAGCTGAAAGAATGCAGCAAAACAAAACGGGGCAACCGCCCTGATGCTTGCAGCTTTCAAAGGCCACTTGGCAGTGGTGCGGGTGTTGGTCGAGGCTGGAGCTGACAAGAATGCAGCAAAGCAAAACGGGGCAACCGCCTTGATGATTGCAGCTTTCAAAGGCCACTTGGATGTGGCGCGGGTGTTGGTCGAGGCTGGAGCTGACAAGAATGCAGCAAAACAAGACGGGGCAACCGCCTTGATGAGTGCAACTCAGAATGGTAAATGGAAGCGCCGCAATTGCTCCGCTGAGAGAGTGCCGGAGTGAAATGGCAGCTGCTCAGCCGTCCCTGAAGTTCCGAAATCGCCAAATAAAAGGTAACTGGACTTCTATTCCAAACTTCATCCAGCATCCATCAATCCCAACTTTTCCCAAATTAGTAACAAGTGCATCGCTACTAGTAAGAAGGGCATTACTACAAATAACAAGAAGCTAAGTCGTCCCTATACAACCTTGAAACGGCCGCCTTGGCCCAGTCCGTCGTCCCCCGTTCGAAGAACCCGTTGGTTCGACGGTTTCCACGGTCCGGGCGATCGGCGGCGACGTCCAGGTGAGGATTTTCGAACTCGGGCGAAAGTTCCAGGAACAGGTGCTGCCCGGACCGGTGGGGCGCACGGTCCGCCACGGTGTCACACGAGTGCGGGCGCGTCGAAGGTGACGCAGAGCCACGCCACGCGAAGTTCGCTGGTTTGTGGGCAGTGCTGGGAGCAGTTTTGGGGTTTGGTCGCTGGCAAGTAGTACGTGTATGTATGTGTATAGGATTTATATATTGGGCATAGGGTAGTTTTATAGGACGTCAGTTTTTTCTGGGCTATAGGTGTGCAAACGGGGTGATGGTGCTATGCGTGTTGGCGTTTCTTTTTGTGCGGAGGTCAAGGGTGTGCGTTGGTCACTGGTTTTGATGGTATGAGGTAAGATTTATTAACGTGCCAATATCGAGCTTGGCGGCTCATTTCAGTACAGTGCAGTAGGCTATCAGCAAATAGTCCAGCACTTTGCCAGGTTGGTATTGATGCGGGTTGTTTGGTTTGCCCTCTCAGCTTGTTGCATCACCAGATCAGGGCCAGGATACGTCTTCGGCCCATTCTCACAAGGAGTTGGTGAACTGTTGATCAAAATCCTAAAGTTTTTGGCGACTGTTCCAAGTGTGCTTTGCTGACAACAATGACATGCTGCATAGGACCATTTGAGCGTTTGACATCCAACGCCAAAAGATTTGACATGGAAAGCTAAGGACATCAACTAAACTTGGATAAAAGTGATTTGATCATCTATACCTTTGAGGCAGATCTTTGCACCTTCCTTGCCCCCCCCCAAAACATGGGTCCTTGCCTGCAAGGCGGTCCGCTCAACCGCCACCCCCGCGCCACACCGCAGCCGCCTGGGTGGTGTGCGCCACGGCAAGGCTCAATGCTTCCACCAAGCCACCATGCTCCCGGGGGTGAAGCGCACCGACCGGGAAGGACTTTCGGCGACACGTCGGTGCCGAAGGATGGAGGCCTGGAGCCTGGGGGAGGCCATGTCGGCACGCATGGAGACCGTCGCAGGGCACAGAAGAGTGCATCCGGCAGGGTTTAGAGCTCACTTCGAATATACTGATCTAACCTGCCGTTCGCCTGTACTGATGCTTGAACAAACTTGAGCAAACAGGGCATGTCGTGGCTTGAGAGTTCAGTCCTTGCATGTCGTTACCCCTTTTCGTGCAGCACAGCACAGCTGGGGGTATGCCCTGAGGTAAAGTATATCCTGAGGGGTGCTGAATGGTGTTGATCACGGGCGGCTTTGATTGAACAACCCTTTGCGATACATCCACATGCTGTCCACATGTTCTGTCATGTTTTGTTCACTCTGGTAGCTTTCTTTTGGTAGACACCACTGGTTGTGTTTGGTGCGAGTCAGGGTGTTCACAATCCCCCATCTATGCCCTAGGCTTTGCCAAGTGACCAGTGCATCCAAGCAACTCGCCACACCAGAACCTTCTTCCGCCTCGGCGCGGAGAGGATCCATCAAATCCTTCAAAGCTTGGGTCGAGCGGGTGAAATCCACCGTTCCTCCAGAGAAGCTCTTAGTCTTTGATGTCAAGGAAGGCAGGGACAGGGGGGAGGTGGCAGTGGTGCCTCCAGCGGCTTGGTTGGTATCGGGAATCCGCGTGCTTCTGTGAGCCTTTGAGATGCACAAAAATCTCACATGCCGAAGTTCATGCCAAGGGCCCAGGGCTACCTACTCTCTCTCTCTCTCTTTTTTTCCCTATGCATTTCTATATGGAGGATGATGGAAACACCTGCCGACCGGCGCGCTTGGTCCAACCAGAGCACCCCACGACCGGTGCCGAAGCACCGCGCCGCTCTTGGGCCCACACGACCCCGTGCCACGCCGCGCCCCGTGAGGTTGGGAGCCATTGTGCAAGTTCTTGGGCGTGCCGGTTCCGGACGAGCCCTTCCCAAACGTCAATGACCGTGAAGAGATCAAGAAGGATATGAATAAGGTCCTGAGCCCCTGCCTTTGCTTCAGAAATGGTTGAAAGTTGAAAGCCTGTCATAAGGAGACCATCCTCAATAGGCGGGAGGGAAGCAACACTTTTGCATGGGGAAAGGCTAAAGGCATCCGCGCACAACTGCAGGCGGCACCCTCATAGGTCGTTTCTTCGGGTTTTGGCTATCGAAGTTCCTTCAAAATTTGACATGCTCGCCCATCGCTGTTCTATCCGAGGGTCTATTGCTACATTGCACAAGCTGTGCGGGCCATTGCTGTGATTGGTGGGCTTGGCATTCTCTACTGGCTGGGGAAAATCCTCCTGTGAAGCTGCAGAGTGACTGCGGAGCCGCCCCTGGGTGGAGGAACGCTAATGAAAAGTATATATCTCAGTGTAGGTTGGGCCTGCTTCCTTTGAGCTAACTACGCTTCTTGACCCTTCTTGAGGAGAAAAAGCACCCAGACTGTGACCCTCTATTAGTTTGGCCCCCTATACAAGAACCCCCTATTTTTTTGACCCGGTTTCCCAAAAAACATCTTGCCAATTTGCCTAGATTTGGTACCCAATCACCCCCTCAATTAGTTTGGCACACCTTCTTCGGCAAAAAGGCACCCTTCCAGCAATCTTTGTTGTAATTGGTTGGACCTCTCCTCATGAAGAGGTTCAGTCACTTAGCCTTTTTGCATTGCGTTGGCGGTCACTAAGATAGCCCACCGGCCGGCGACCCGGCCGACCGGCCGGCGACGTCGAGATCGTAGGTCGTAGGTCGAGCCGAGCATCGCCGGTCCGGCCAGTCGAGGCCTGACCCGGTCGCGAGACAAAAAGGCTGAGAGTTGCTGCAACGAATGGCCTGTTGGAGGATGAACGTGGTAGACGTTCAAGAGTCCGAAGACGTTCAAGAGTCAGAAGGGTGATGGTGTAAACATAAAAAATCGATGCATCAACATGCACAAAAAACATCTGGAAAAGATGTGAGAAGAGGGAATGCACATCAGACTATGTTGATTAACATGGGCAACATGCACGGAGTGTTTGTTGAAACACACTGGCAAGTACACTCGACTGAGACCAAGCCGCTACAGTGTTCAACGGAGTTTTACGTTTGTGTCAAATGGATTCAATTGGCTTGTTACACCTCGATATCCACGCGAATACTTGTACTTTCCCCTCATGCCATTGGTTACGAAGCCTTCTGCGATTCATTGGAGCATGTGACAAATATAATTGTGTTCGAACCACAATTCCGCTCTACGGACTCTAGTAGGATGTTTAGCATGCTTTCATATGCTTTCATCATGTTTATCTACTGCAGATGGATGACCACTCTTCAAACGCAGCACCTGCAATCTATTGTTCATTTGCTCCTTCCAATCCCCAACAATTCTGAGCTGTTTGCCGAAGGCATCCGAGTTTTGGATCTCAGAGTGCGGGAGGTTTCAAAGGCCCAGGTCCTTCCTGCGGCACGTTTCGATGCCGAACGTGCCACAAACGTGCTAGTGCCTCGCGCGCGACGAACTCAGAAGTCTCATACTGTAACTATGAACAAGTTCCAAGAAGGGGTAGCAGTGCAAAACTAAGACGGTAACCACACCCACTGGGTCTTGATGTGGTGTTGGTGAGGGAAGAACAAGAACTAGAAAGAGATCTGAAAGGTGAAGGAGAGCTATTGGTGTCGCAGTAACAGTCGGTAAAGGAAGATCGCCGCTATTGTTGGGAAAGAGCATCCACTGTTACTGGTCATGGGATGTGGAGCTTCATATGGCCATAGATGCTTGCACGCATCCTATTCAAGACGATGGGGCTGGCATGCATCCTATCCCAACAATATCCCAAAACCATCAAGAGCATTCAAGAGCCATGTTTTTATAAGTCATATCTGACAGGTTTTGTTTTTGGTATAGTTTGTTGGTGCAGACCCTTCTTTTCAGTGGCTGGATGTTTCCAGACTCCGCCCAGGTGATTGCGGCTTCCGGCACCGCCGCAGCAGCGTGTGGCATCAGCGAGTCTGGCGTTCGTTTCTTTCGCTCGGTTGCGCGACAGGCCTGGCGACATGCGCAGGCGCGAGTGCGTTGCGGACATCGCCGAGAGGGCGGGTGTGGCGGAAGGTTTGGGTGGTTTCGGTGGTGTTGATGGGAGAAATCCTCAATAGGCACAGAGCTGAATTTGGAGCAGTTTTTGCCTTCGGCCGTATGATTGAAGTGTTTCACTGGATGAGTCCATGTCGGCCATGTCGTGTAAATAATCACCATAGACCACAGTCACATAATCTCCCCGGAAGATGGGAGGATCCTGAAAGACCTTTTACCCTTTTTCCTGGTGCATGTTTGGGAAGCCTCAAGTTCTCCATGTGACTCCAGTCCAGTGCCTTGATTGATGCAAGTCTGTGATTCCCTTTCCTTTTCAACAAGTGAGCGACTTTGATTGTTTGAGGAGCTGCTGATCACAGATCATTCGTCGACCTCACGAGATGAGCGTGGATCTTGGTGCTTTGATGCCGCGGGGTTGAAGCTTCTGGGCATCATTTTCGCCTGTCAGCAAGCAGAGTGCCTGGAGACGCTTGGTCGTCGAGCAGTTGGGGGGGTTATTCTTTGGCGAGAGCCGCGGCAGCTCTACAGCTAATGGGAGGCATGGGGGGCCAGATTGAACAGTATGGAACCAGGGGAGCCGGGAGTCCCGGAGCACACCTAATTCAACGGCGGGTGATGAGCTCACAGAATGGGTCAAAGATGGTCAAAGCATGTCAAAGCAAAGTTCCATCATGTTCCATCCAATTCCGGAGGACCTGGTTCTACAGCACCTTACGTCGACTCTTTAGTACCGCCGCTGGGCGGTTGGACTCAGAGCTTCCTCTTGCAGCACCTGCAGACGTCACAGAAGGTGCGGCTTCCCCTTCCGCTCAGCTCGTTGCAGATGGCCAAGACCACGAAGCTTGCCAAAGCGGAAGCGTCAAGGTCATGGCTCCTTTTGAGATCTTTCCCACAGAGGTGAGAAACCTCTTTCTTTGGCACGTGGTCATCAGTGATTCCCTACGTCGGCTTCCAACCACCATGAATTGAATAGGCTTTACCGAATCTACTAAGGAGTTTACACTACAAAAACCAGGTCAACATATAGGTCAACCATTTTGGAAATGGTCTTGGAAGTCTAGGGATTGGCGATCATGACTCTTCGACTTCGGTCGATCCGGTCGCAGCCGCCACATATATAGCTGATGCAGCGCTCCGTCCGCGAAGGACGTTGCTGAGTAGAGAGGATGAGAGATAGACAGTGGATCCCAAGCACCGGAAACCCTTCTAGGATGAAAGTCTTTCATGTTGTTAAACCACTGTTGGAGCTTCCTGAGGCGGTCTTCTACAAGCCTCCGGGCTGGGAAGTCTATGGTGGTCACAACCAGCTGCAGCTCGTCGACGCGGCCCAGCGCCTCTTTGGCCGGCGCCGGCTCTTCGAGGACGTGGGGCATCACCACGGCTTTTTGTACCGCGGCAGTGGTGATCCCAACTGAGGTTGAAGAACCCTATACTGGTCGCCTATCCCAGTTGGCTACTGCAGGTGACGGGTCCGAACGTTCACGGAAAACCCACCTCTCTTGGGATGAAGGGCGTCCCGGTGGTCCCGGTGGTCGGAGTTCGCTAGTCTTCACCTGACAGACCTGGAGCGTCGCATGGGTGTCCTGGCTGGAGATGTCCGTTTAGGGATGTTTAGGGTAGTCGAGACAGTACGCCACTAGAATCGATTATTGTAAGGGCTTCGCCCGGGTGCCGCCGACCCCTTTTCAAGAGGAGGTGCTGACCGTAGCACTTCCTGTGGACGGCCGCAGGTCTATCTGCG